TGCCCTTCTCCCTGCACTCCGTGTTGTGGTGCTGCAGGGCTCAGCAGCGCACAGAGCCTTTCCCACACGTGAAATCCTCACCTCCCACTGCACAGGTGAGCTCCCCATCCACAGGATTGTCTGCTCAGACGGCTCTTCAAAAACCGTCTAGATGCCAGTGCACGAGAAGAGTATCTGGCCAGGAATCCCACTTTACCAGAGGGGTCCAGCTTAGTATTGAACTGATTAAAACTTTAATGAGGCAGTTTCAGACCTGTTCCAAAGACAACATCCTTGTGTTTGATCTAGATACCCCAGGCACCACATCTCCCGCAGACACAGAATGAGGTGCTCCCTCCTGGATCCAGGTAGTATGAGGTACCTGTTTTTCAGATGGTGCAGCACTGCCCATCAGGTTCCTCAGCAGCCTCAAGTGGCTGCTATCACCACATTTGACACTGTTAAGCCACAGTATTTTGAAACACAGTGACTTCAGCTTTGCAACAGGCATATTTTCTGTCTACTTTATGCTTTATTTCAACTAAGTATTCGAAAATGACTCAGTAAAAATGAGGCATGAGCATGACCACAGAGAATTATGAAATCAATAAAAGGTTCAGAACTATTCTGAAGGGATTTCAGTTGCCTACCAAAATAAAAGGCAGACATCATCTGAAATATGAAGTTCTGTCTGAGGTAACAGACCAAATGAGTACAGACAGTTGATTTTACAGATTCTGAAAAGTGGATTGGGCCTTATAAAGTCAATGGGAATTTCCTTATTGATTGCAACTGGGACTGGATTGGATCCTGCTCATTTTAGGAGGTTGCTCCATGGACTAGAAACTACCATTGCATCAGAAAATGAGTGGCTTACAGGAATAACAATAAGTAAAATAAAACACCAACAGGAAATGCAGAATGAACATAAAATGGAGTCAGTATGAAGGGTGACACCACACAGACACACTGAAGGAAGTGTTTCTGTTCAAGAAGAAATGTGTGTTTAGAATCAAACACATATGCAAGTACTTGCTTGAAATATGACCTAAACCTCTACTAACCCAGCACTACACCAGATTCATTTAACATAAAATGCACACATGAAAATTTACAACAGCTCACTCCAAATGAGCTGTCATTTTCCAATGCTAGTCACATGATGTTGTCTCTCCCTCTAACATATTCTAGGGCTGGTCAGTCTCTCTGTGCATGGCTATTGGAAACACATCAAAAGTATTTGTTAATAAATCAGATTAGATCTCCCACAAGAAAAAGATTTCAGATGAGTTTTTTAAATCTGACTGGTTCTATTCTCACTAGGTTAGAAAAAGCCCCAAAGTAACTTATTGCATGGTATTTTTCTATTTTTTCTGAGTCTAAGCAAAGATCAGGAACACAGGTAAGCAAACTATTGAAAACAATTCTAAATTCTAATCAGGTGGCATCTGAGTCTTGCAGCATAACAGCATGGGATTTGCTCTAGGACATTTCTAGCAGGCCAATGTCATGAGGCTGGGAATGGTTTATATTTTGCATGTCATTTATTTGTCATTGTTCTTTCTGTTCGCACTCTTCATTAAGAGCATTTTTTTCCTTTTGGGATGACATTCATACTTTACCTCTACTGCTGTCAGTCTTAAGTTCATGAGGTTCCTCTGAAGAGAGATCCCCAACTCAGTCCATTCAGCATGAACAGAAGTTTATGTGAGTTTATTTATACAGAGTGCAGTGACTATGACTTCTTTGAGTCTCTGAACTCTCCTTTTCTTGACTGGTACGCTCAGCGGTCCTGCAGAAGCCTGTGAATCTTCAGCATGGTTTAGATCTGTCCTGGAAGAATAGAGCTATTTGTCTTTGCCACATTAGAAAATGGCTTGCATGCCTACATCCTGTGCAATTAGTTTATGAACCCTCTTTTGTTATTTTTGTCATGTATTTCTGTTTTCACTTCTGATGTCTTATGAATGTTGCTAACACAATTCCTTTCTTCTCCTGCTTTCTTCATCTCAGCTGCGCTGTGATCCTAAAAACAGCTGATGCTGGAGCATTACAAAACAGGGGGACTTTTGGAACTGACAGAAATGACTATATTGCAGTTTAAAGAGTCAGCACTTTTATTTGGTCCAAAAGGGTAACTGCAAACTGTTGTACTATTACATACAAGCAAGTGAACATCAGAAAAGTCAGATTACATGGGAATACTCAAAATACATCTCAGTTTTTCATAAAAAATTTATATATGACAAAGTACCTCTTTTTGGTTTATTTTACATTATTTTTTTCCCCTGTTATTTTCTTTTAGGCAATTTGGGGCCATTGGGTCACGTCTGACTGGAGCTGGATGGGGTGGCTGTACTGTGTCAATGGTGCCTACTGACAAGCTGAACACTTTCCTAAAAAATGTAAAAAAAGCTTATTACCAAACAGATGGCCAAAGGTTAGCAGTGGAAAATAATAGTCTGTTTGCTACCAAACCTGGAAGAGGAGCTTTGGTTTTTGTTGAGGCCTGAAGAACGTAAAAATTTTAAAGAAACTATGTAGAGCATGTAGAACTGGCAGTACTTCCCATGCCACAGTACATGAATGCTTTTTCTGGTTTGTATTGTAATGAGCAGTTGCTATTATCAAAATGTATTTCTGAAGAAGCAATTAAAAGAAAATTCTTTGATTAAAAAAGTCTTTTTTCCCCCATATAAAATATATCTTTCAGTATAAATATTGATTTACTAAAACCTATTGACAGGGAAAACTGAAATTGAAATAAAGACGGTGATTTGTTACAGTCTCTCTTTGACTGTAATAAAAGACCAGGTGTGCCATGAGCTGCCTCAGTGGAGGGAGGGGACCTCAGGGGAGGGCAGTTCAGTGCTTTTTCTCTTCAGGCTGGACATTGTTTTGTTTGGAGTGTTCTGTAAAAAAGGAAGATTAAACTGAAGCATTCAAAAACTTGGAAGGACCTTAATAAACATTTCAAGCTTTCTACTGTCCACAAGTAGGATAATTACTGTTATAATTAATGATAATACTGATAATAATGATATAATTAATGATAATAATGATAACAGGAAGAGTGCCTGCAGGCCAAGTAAAGCATTAGGAATACATAGGACAGCTTTTCTCCTAGCAATATTTCTTAGGTATCTTCGTGCAGGTATGAAAAAGTTTCAACAAAAATGAATGCTATTCCTGAGTTGTAAGATATGACAACCTAAGTGAATGAGCTAACAATGAAGCAAAGTTGGATTTTGAGTTATCCAAACACCATATTCGCATGCTTGAGTCCCAGCTGCACATCTACATCATAGAACATTTGCATTTTATGCAAAACTATTATAGAGGACTAAATATGAGCCACTGACCATGTGAAAAAGCAATTCAATTTTATAAGGAATTTGAGAGAATTTACTCAGTTGAACTAAGCAAAAGTAAGTTCTAGGTAGGACCAATGGAAAATGTCATTGACATCAGTGACAAATTCTGACCTTGCTATCACTTTCTACTCCTGCCATCCCCTGTAACTGCTCTGTCAGAACAGACCCACAGTTCATAACCTGCCTCCTCAGCAGGAGAAATGGTTCTGATTGCAGAAAGGGGAGCGTATATCAGGATCCTCCAAAGATGTCCTAACCCTGTTCCCAAGGGGGAAGTCAAGCTCCTGTGGCCTCTCTCTTGCACAAACTTCCACTTCTCTGCTCTCTTCAAAGAAAACCAAAGAGAAGATTTGGTGGTGTCACAGCCCTTACAGCCATAAAAGACAGCAAGAGTTGGCCCTGGGCACGTTTTTGTGATGCTAAGCACAAGTTAATGTCCAGAAGTCTGCATCAAATTAGAGATCGCTCAGATTTTCTGTACATTACCCATGCTACTTCAGGCCAAACCCAAATTCTCAGAGGCTCCTAATTCTGTGGGAAGATTGCCAAATCTGAGCACAGCAGATGAACGACAGCCAATGCAAACTACCAGATCTCTTCAGGAACCTCAGAGGGGAATGTCATGGCAATAATATCAGTAGAGAAGATCTCTTATTTCTAACAACCAGGAAAAGTGGAACAGAGTGCTTGGGTCAAGTAAATCAAGACTGAAGAGTAAAAGGATGGGCTCTGGGCACAAGGGGAGGAGATGAAAATACGATTCGGAGGGAGGACAGTTAAAGGGATACATGTAAGAAGGGGAAAGCAAAGGAGAGGGGAAACAGTTCTGAACAATTGGCAGATTACAGAACTGGCTAACCTTAAACATTCCCTATTGCCATCTTTGAATTTGTAACCTATTTGTAATGTACAGTAGATATACATACATTCAAATAAACCTGTAAATATAGGACCTCAAAAAGAAAAAAAAAGGTATCTTCAACAATGTTTAAGATAACCACAGATATTTTGAAGAAAATAATGCTCTCCTCCAGCTCAGGGGTTTGGGTACCCAGAGAACAACTGCTCTTATTATTAATGCCTTCTCTGCTTCAGTCTTTAAGTACCTCAGGCGCTTCCTCATCCTTTGTCACTATGTTTCCCCCTGCACCCAATGAAGGTTAGCACAAGCTATGCTTATTCCTGGAGTGTAATTTTATCTAAGGCCTGACTGTAATTCATTCAATCACGAGTTTAATCTTAGTGTGTGGTAAATGGGCTCTAAACCTTTCCAAAAGAGATCTGGAATGGAGACACTGTTAGACATCCGGGTGCAGCATCACTGCCTGGTGCCGTGTTAATACTCTGTATTATGGTAATCCCATTGACATGTACATCTTCATCACTGCATTTGCTGACTGTGTCTCTGTACACAGGAACATGCTCATCCTCAGAAATAGCATGAGAGCAATTTTACCATTCACTCGATGGGAGGGGATCATGACCGTGTATTTGACGTTTGCTGTCTTGGACACAGCACACACACACACACAGACATATGGCAACCTAATATACAATAATTACTTACATAACATTTTTGGGAATATTGGTTTCTCGTTAATATGATCTGAATGCCAACTTTTATTTTAGCAACTGCTGAGTACTTAGTCAGTATAATCCTTCTGAAATTCCTTTCTGAGTCCATGTGTCTCTTTAATAACATCTTGATAAGTTGGAGCAACTGCTGCACTACAGCTTCAGTCAAGTGAAAGATTTATATTTTCAGCTAACTACAACACTTACGTGTGTGCTAAATCCCAACCAGATCTAGTTAAAGATGCACACCATTCACAAGAGTATACTAGTCTAAAAAAATATACCTTGAAAATCATACCTGTTCTGGGCAGGACTGAAGCAGTGCTCCCTGATTCTTGTCTTAAAAGGTGCATCAAGAAAAAATGAACTCTATAGAAGAACTTACACTAAAAAGTATCAGTAGTGTGAAAACTGGACTGGTAAGACAATGTCATAAAACCTGTGAATCATGCAGCACATTAAATTAATTTTGACATTGAAGGCTAGGTATTGATAAGAGAGACTTGTTCACAATGCAGAAAGGACTACAGTGGGGAATGTACAATGAACTGCAAATTGCTTGCTGTGATACAGCCCTGTTTGACAGATTTTCCCAGTGCACAGAGAACTGGCAGATGAAGCACTGCCAAGCAATGCTGGCGACACATCTGTCCTCCCTCAGCTCTGCAGTTCAGCCAGCTCTTTCATCAAATGCTCTTCTAAGATTCAATATCTCATAAAATAGAGACAAGAGATTAATTCTGGTACTGATCTTATCTCTTGTACTTTGCCCTGTGCTTTTGGACTTGTGTCACAAGTAATTGAGATTCTCTGAGACACGACAGGCCACAGGCTCCCCTGCCAGCCCTGGGTTTACAGAGACAGCTGTCACTGTGCCCAGGGCAGGCAGTGCCACCTCCCCCGCAGCTGGCCCTGCCCTGGACTGCAGCGCTGCCCTGCCTCAGACAGCAGGACACAGCTGGGGCTGCTGCACTGCCAACCGCTGCTTCTTGAGCACGTGTTTTTCCTCAGATCACCTACGATCGTTTGACCAGTTAAACCTGTGGGTGAACATTTTCTGGAGCTCCTGAAGCCTCTGTAGGTTTGGTCACTGATTTCAGCATAATGTGGATTTACCCAACCTATAGTCCCTGCAAACAGTACAAGCAATACAATAACAAGTAGTGAGAGTTTGCACAGAGAGCTAATGTGACCAAATCTCGTGAGTAATTTAAGGCACTCAGACCAAATTCATCAGAGGTGTCAGACCTAGTAAAGGAAAAACTGTAGACAAGTGAAAAACGTTTAAGCTTCAGATGAGAAGACATTAAGGAGCGTTCAGAATTAATTATCATTAAAATGCTTGAGATTGATTTCCAATAGCAGTCCTTCCTTTAGAATCAACAAACTGATGAGGATTCATACAAAAGCACTGGATATTCATTGGATTTAAAGTCTAATGCATTTTGAGAACTGCTGTCATCTAAACCATTTTTTGTTGGCCAAAATTACATGTTAATATTAAAAGGAAAAAAAAAAATTATCTTCCCATTAAAGCACAACTTTTTGCACTTGGCACATGGGGATCAAATAACTCAATAAAGATTAGATGTACTTCAGACTGAAATACAACCAGTGCCCAAGCAGCTGTCTTCTTTCCAGCCAAGCTGTGTGTGATTAGAGGTGGGAATAAAAATATATTCTATCAGCCAATGATCAAGTCAGATGTGTGGGGTTCTTTTTTTAAAATCCAAATTAATTTTTCAAGGGAAAACCTTGAAGCAGGTTTGTATGAAGCTCTTACAGCAATTCCTCAGGAATATTATTAAATACCTTATTTTTTGCCAAATTCCATATGGTGGAAGGTTTTATTCATGTTGTTCTACATTTTCTGGTTTCTTATCTGTCCCTCATGTGACAAATACATGTATTTATTTTTGTTGGCTGAGCTGTTCTGACATAGAGCAGAATTTTTTAATTGTGTTCTACTGATTGATTATCAACAGAATTAAATTGTTCTGATTAAATGCTGAAGAATTTTCTACTGACTTTCTCCCTGGGAACATTCTTTCTTGTCTCCTTCCTTTTCAGGTTTCTATCTAGAAAAGAATTCAGACAAGACCCTGTACTTGAGGAAAAAAAAAACCTCAAAATCAGAGCACCACTTTTAAACATCTATAGCAGCTTCAAGAATAAGTTTTTTTATGAAGGGCTGAACCTAAGTTTATCTAGGAACATAAAGCTCTAACTCTCATAGCTGAATTTAAAAATCTAACCAAAAACGAGCTAAAATCAGAACCAAAAATGTCCAGCAAGGATTTACAGAACTTCTGTCAGATTAAGTTAAAACTCCACAGCTGAATCATAAACTTAGTCAGAGCCAAATACTAACTGAAGGAAAAAATTTGGGGACAAAGGGTTAAAGGTCAAGGGAAAAATACCTATTGGGCATTTATTCAAGTTAGTTATGGTCAGGCCTTGACCCTACAAATATATCCAATCAAATTCCTCTGCAATCTTTCCACAGCCAATCTATGTCAGTAGCAGAATAGATGAGGATCTTTGAATAGTCGTGATTTTAAATATTTTTTTATTTTTTTCATTTCTTTTCAGAAGGCCATTAGAGAGAGTGAATGAGGGCCTGGGCAGCTTTTGTTTCTGAAGATCTATAACCCGATGATGGCCAGCAGGGAGAGAGGGGTCACGGGCTGCAAATGATTTTCAATACTTCCTCTAGAGGGAATAGGATGGTTTCTGGGAGCTGCTTCAGGAGATGGACCTACAGGCCTCTCACTATTGTTACTGAAAACCTTCAAAATTTATTGTCCTGCCTGAAAGTCATAAAATATTTAACTTTCTTGATTATAAGATTGCAGTGGTATGCCTTCCTAAAGCTGATTCTTCATAAAACTAATTAAATGGTTAAACAAATAAATTTTTTTTGACAGAACAACACAAGGGGGATTTCAGTCCCTTGCACTGCTCTGAGTGCCCTCCTTTCTCCCTGCCTTAGCTGTGCTCATTCAGCAGGAACAATTGGGTTGGCTGCTCTGGAAGTGAGGGCACAGCCATGCCAGGAAATGCACAGCAGCCTCTCGAGCTCAGCTGAGGGGCACAGAGGGGGTTTGCACAGCTCTCCCCCATCCCAAGGAAAATGGCAGTGACTTCACAAGCTCTTTCTGGCGAGCCTAAAGGTTTTGGTTAGCAGAGTTTGAATCTCAACTATCTGCTTTAGCTCCACTAATGAGATTTATTTTATTTCTATGTAGGTGGTCTTTTATTTCTTAAATGCAATTAGCATACAGTTGTTGCCTGATGGTTTTATTTATTTTTGAAAGTGCCGACTACTGGACTTGCTTTCATAGTTCTCACATTTCCAGAATTGACTTTTGTGCTCCACAAGCCTATTTTCAGGAAATATTTTGTAAGAGGGATGATATTTTGAACTCTACTTTTAAGGCTGCAAAAGCTGCTTTTTTCGTTCCTTTGTCTGTTCATTAGGGGCCATCTTTAATTCCTAGATGTGTTTTTTGGAGTCAAGTTCGTTTCCTTTGAAACATACCATGAAAACAAAACATAAAACAAACTTTCAGACTTTAGGCAAAGTTATATGTTTATTTTATGAGATTATATGCTATATAAGGTTTCAGGTGGGGCACTGAAATTTACATATTTGTCCCTTTCTAGGTTTTCTCTAAACACTTCCTGACTTGTTCATTAGCTGCCTTTTGGTCATTATTGCTCATTACATAAATGCATAAAAAACTATCTGATCTGCTTGGCTTCAGCTGTACAATAAATAGAAGGTTTTAGGCTTTTATTCAAACTATGAAAAATTTCAACATCCCCATTTCTTGAGGATGACATAGATGAGTGCTATGTAGCGTTTCCAACTCCTGAGCTGTATTACAGTCTTGATTTTTGTGATTAATGAATTTATAATTTATACTCTCAAAAAAGAAAATGGAACATTTTTGAAAATCAACATCATGCATATTGCAAACTACAATAAACATGTCAGCAAAAGTGGATATACTAACAGTTTATGGTGGCCAATTTGCTACTTTATTCTTTTTTATAAATGGACAAATTATGACTGCCCATTGTGGTCACATTAAAGGGAGAATGGTGTGGAAATTTCTGTTCTCAATAAACCCATAAAGAAGTGGACAAAACTCATTTTTAGACAGAGTTGTGCCCATAATGTGAATAGTCACCTAAAATCTGCTGAGAAAAACATAATCAGTTTCACAAGAAGTCTAAAATTTTCTTTTTATCCCATTAGTCAGCCTAATAACAAGTTTTACAATTTGTCCTTGTGAAGTTCATAAAAACAATGACAAATATAAAAATGCCACACTGAAAGTTGAAAAAAAATAATTTTTCCACTCTTCTATATGATATTGCGAAATTTGTTGAAGTCAGTGAAGTTTAACTACCATAACACAAACTGACCTCTGCATTCACTGAATAAGGGCTGTCCTGTTGTAACAGAAGCTGCTGAGATTTTACAAGCAAGCTGAGGCGTCCCTATGCTGAATATGCTGAAAACCAGTGGCAAACTGGTTTTCCTTTAATGTGTTGTGTGCAAACTCTTCAATATACAGAAAACCAAAGTGCTAAGAATCCCTTGAGAAAAGGTTTCAGAGAAACTCAAGTAAGTGTTCATTAAATCCTCCAAAAACATTGCAATTAAAGAAGTTCTATGTGTGTCAGGGAAAGAATTGAATTAATTAGCAAATCTTTGCTTGTGAAAACTCTTTGTTTTAAGATAAAAAGAACAAAGGGCTTTGACTATCTGTACCACAAAACAGATAAGTCCTTTCTACATTCAGGATACATGCCAGATAGAAATATGTCCAATTTCAGAAAATACTCTAAGCTTCCTCAAAATTTATAGATGTTTGGATCCAAAGACTATAATTCAGGGCAATAATAGAACCAAGTCCATATATAAAGCTAGAATCCAGATATAAGAAGAGTTTTGTTACATTCTGGGAAGTTTGATTTATGTTTCTCATTCAGCCTAATTCCCCAAAAATCTAACAGAAATAAAGTAATCAAGCTGAAATGCAGTCTTACTTCAGACATTTTAAATCATAGGTTAAAGGATAACAAGATGAGGAACCAATCAAACCTTTTTTCTGTATTTTTAAGTTTCTGTCTTTTAGGCAAACCACTTGCTGAGATTGTCTGCATTACTGTGGTCTGTCTCAGTCTAGAAAAGAGAAAACTGTCCCAGCTATTGTGGATCATAGCAGAAAAAGGAAACAAAATAAATGGGTGAGACTTGAGTAATGCATTCTTCTCCTCCCTGCCCCAGCTGGTTTAAACCATCTTGGCAAAAACTTCTGAAGAAAGGTTTTTAAACACAATACAGGTTGGTCAGGGAGTCCCAAAGGATCTCGTTGTTTGTAAACTTGAGTACAATTACTCTTCAAGTCAAGGGATATGACACAGCATTATCAGTATTGTGAGCATGAAGAAAGTAGGAGATACAGGATTTTGACCACTGAATTCTGAGGAGCACAGAGATGCATTCAACTCTGAGCCAATAGAAGAGGGCTGTAAAAATGGGAGAAATGTCAATAAAGGATATTTTCAAACTCAGAAGACTAGCAGAAGGGATGAAGAAATTCTACATTTATATTACAAAATATTTATATTGAGATTTTTTTTAAAACTAATTGTCTTTTTCACCAAAATGAAGTACTGTATTAATTAATGGTGATACCAGTATAAGAAGGGATGAGAATTTCTGGCAAAGATTGATGTCAATGATCTAATATCTTACAGGAGACCGTTCTCCATTTCAAGCAGAAAACCTGCAGATGGTAATAGGCATTGGAACGTAAACACCTGAGAGCCTGAGTTATTAAAAAAATTAATGCTGACTTTTGTGTACAGCTATTTAAGAAGAATCAAGGTGTGTGATAAAGTTTTATTAAGAATTAAACTAATGTATCACATTTTAAGCTGCAGTTTACTACAATCAGGCCCTAACCTTAATCTAGTTGATTCTTATCTCCAGCATAAGCATTTTCCTTTTGTGAACATTTAAAGCATTAAAATATATTAGAAAGGAAAACTGAAAAAAACCCATGTAAAACATGTAAAAAATGCCCAGCACAAATACGTTTATAAAAGGAAAAGTCCAACATAAATACAGCACTGTTCAAAACCTCTGATGGTATCACCTACACAACAAACTTAAAGATGATGTTCCCCTCTGGCTTTTCTGCATAGTTTTTTAAATATATCACACCTAATATTGCTGCAGCTGCCAGATCAGTAGAGAAAAGGAACACTTCATTGCTGAGTTTTAATTCAGTTACATTCATTGTTGTTTCCCCCCATAATCCTCTGTATTCTGTCAAGCATTTTATAACATAGTTTATAAATATTGACAGAATCACAGCTTTTGTTAGCCTGTTACCCATGGTATGATCCTTTAAATATCAGAAATATGTAAACCAAACCTCTGTTATGGCTTTGGATTCCTTTGGCACAGTATTTATATGTTCACAACATTCACTTATTTCTTCATCTGCCATATATTTCCTATCTTTAGGTTGATTTTTGCAAATTGAATCATCTTCTAACAAAAACATAAAAACCATACACAGCATTTTCTTGGTAATTTAGGATACACGTCACCCTTCAGTGAAATGCTAATAAACTAAATCTCCCCTTAGCACATTTTCCACACTTTTTTTCTTCCCAAACAAAATGCTCTGCAAAGAGATTTCTGTACAGATAAAGAATTGATTAATGAAAAACGGTGCTAAGAAAGTTATTTGATCCATTAAACACTAGCAATACAACACAGACTGGTATTAATAATCCTGGATTTCTGTGGTGGAAAAGAGTAGTCTTAGTTATCCAGTCTTACAAGGTGGGTGTCTGTCTGTCCCTACTCCACCTGCCTATGAAGGGAAAAGTAACTGTAAAGTAGAGGTGTGTGCAAAGCCTTCCAGTATCCAAAGGGACTACAGGAGAGCTGGAGATGAACCTTTTAGAAAGACAAAGTGACGGGACAAGGGGTAATGGCTTAAAGCTTAAAACAGAGAGGGCAGGTTTAGATTAGATAACAGGAAGAAATTCTTTCCTGTGTGCTGGTGAGGCACCAGAACAGGCTGCCCAGAGAGGTTGTGGGTGCCCCACCCCAGAAGTGTTCAAGGCCAGGCTGGATGGGGCTTTGAGCAGGTGGGAGGTGTCCCTGCCCATGGCACAGGGTTGGAACTGGATGACCTTTCAGGCTGCTTCCAACCCAAAGCATTCTGTGACTGTGATTTTTGCTGTGCTCCATAAACAAATGTGGCACTCTGTGCAGTGCACAGGTCCCTGTGCAAGCCTTATGCTTTAAAGCTTCCCTTTAAAGGGATTCTTTTTTACTGTAACAAATGAATGAAATTATTACTGGACACATGGTATGCAAGCACAACATGTTGATAATTTTATGTAGATCTTCAGCAGCCTCTTGTCCATTCAGAAAAGCTGTTAAAGAAAAGCAAAGCTGTTCACTTCTTGAAGGTCCTCAAACAAACAAGCACGAGTTCTAACTTGCAGTTTTACAGTAAGTTGTCAGACATCCATGAAGACAAAGCCAGATCTTAACTGGGCAAGTACATCTTAGCCACAGGTTATAAAGCAGACACAGATGTACAAAACTATCAAGACAGGAAAACAAAAGTTTGGAAGAACAGTGAGAAAAGCTTTACATTTTTGCATAACAGGAAATCCACTGAACAAAAAAGAATTACAAATAACCACTAACATGTCTCATTTGCCTTAAAGAAATACAAAAGCTCCTAAAATGAAAAATAACATCATTGAAAAAGAACCACAAAATGAAGAATTTTGTTTCAAAAAATGTCTTTGAACACAGCAGCTCAGTGCACAGAGAAGATGATGGAGTTGAAGACAAAGAACTGCTAAAATAGAACTGAAATGAAAGCCAAGATGAAATAACCTCCTCAAGTTCTGATGCTGGCGAACACCATTCAATAAAAGTTTTCCAGCAATGACAATTATCCCATAGGGCTTCAAAACAATTTATATACTCACAAGAAGAATACGTGTGAGAACAATGTTCCAGATTGCTGAAAATTAGCAAGAGGGGGAAGGAGCCACCAAGCCCTTCCAAATCAATTAATTTGAATTCTTAGAAAGATCTTAGAAAAGGCCTGAGTTTCCAGATCTAGCCCAGGACTTTTTGAAACCCATAACCATAGAAACTCTTCAGCTCTAAAATGTGAGTGTAGGAAAGAAAAGGGATAATGTCCTGACTCAAACTGAATTATAATTTAATCTTTCTCACAATGTGGGGTTTGGAGACACGATATCTGGAATCTGTGTGCTACACAAAAATCTCCCACTACATGCAGAAGTGACATGCACAAAAAAAACCAATTCCATGGAAAGGTGCAGCAGCATGCAGGCAGACAAGGGTCTGAAAGGCTGATCAACAGGAGTAACAAATGTAGTCATAGGTGCAGGCTTTAGCTCAGGAGGAAAAACCCTCATACCAGAAACAAAGAAGATGAGGAACCCCTCTGTACTCTGACAGAGAACTGAGGACAGAAGTTGTACTGCCTATTAAAACCAGGAATTATCTCAAATCCTTGCAGTGCTCTCCTGTTGTGCAGCAGTTTCTCCCTAGGAAGAAGAAGGTGGGCAGAATGGAACAGGATCAGTAACCAACATGAGGCTAAAGAAAAGCTACTGTCATTAAAGAGTGTCAGATGATCTGACAGGAACAAAATAAGAAAAGTATGACAAAGAAGATGAACACTTTCTCCTCCTCCCTTGATCTTGAAAGAATCCCAGTTTACCAGGCTGAGAGACAGACAGAGGCAGCATCCAGCCCAGTTTGCCACTTAGTGAGAAGTGCAGTGGAAAAGTCACATCTCAGAGCATGGCTGAGCCCTGTAGCCTGACAAGTCAGTAACAAGGTCTTTGTTGACAAGACCTGGGTACAGTTTGGATCACTGAACATCTGTCAGAGAGAGGAAGGAGTGCAAGATCACCACTATTATCTGTTTTTTCCTTTACTGTAACCACCAAGCTCAGTGGTGCTGCCATCAAAGCACCCTCAGAGGCCACACAAATGCACCCAACGTTTTCCAGATTGTTAGCTCTTTATCTGATAACGATTCCAATTATGATTATTATGATTCCAATTGGATTTAAAGGACCTACATGTCTGAAAGCTGGCATTTTTCAAATTACATAATTTGATTTAACTAAATCCCACAAATTTCTCATTTCTGTTATATATGAGCGCTAGATATTCAAATCCTTCAGATATTTAAAACAAGATGGCCAGCATGTCAATGGGACTTATTTTATAACTCCTGTGACCTCACCCAACAATCCTTATGTGCAACACAAAAATAATAGCTCTGAGATTTATTCCTCTTCTTTTTACATTCCTTCACAGTAGACAAGTCCAGAAACCAATACAACAGACGTGTTTAAAAGGGTTAATAAGACTTAATTAAGACTAATCAGGAAAAGAAATATCCAGATTTTGATAAGCTTCTCATCAACAGCATTAACATTCACTTACAGCAATGGACAGTTTAACTAAAGGCACAATATACCCTGAAAAACCTCTTTTTTACTGATAGTAATACTTAGATTAAAATTAGCACAGCATGATTTTTAAATCCCAAATTGAGTCTGCAGAGAAGGCAGTTAAAAAAGGGAGGGTTCTTTTTTTATACTCACAAACTGAACAAACTTGATCTGGAAGTCATTAACAGATAATAAACATAACCTTCCCTCACTCACTCCCAAGATGCCATCTCTACAGTCACTTTTCAGCATATAGTTGTATTTTTACAACTTGTCATCCTACAGAGAAAAGCCTCACAGGATTTCATTTTCTCCAATTTCGCCCTTACTGGTAAGGAATTAGTGCTTTCTTTTCAACAGGACTCATTTCCTAACAAGGAAAAAAGAAGTGGCATGAAAGGAGAAGAAAAAATTTGGTTTGCTTAGTAAAAAGGTTATAAAGTTGTCTTTAGGATGACAAAAGCCATTCTGAAAAGAAAGTAAAAAATTAAAGCAGGTCAGGTTTAAAGTGAGCTTTGCCTCACACAGATACCTCATTCACGCAGCCCGTTACGGAACAGAATCATGGAGAACCAAAGGCAGCCACTACTTCTCACAAGATCTTTTCTTACAAAGGAAAAAAAAAAGTCTGTAAAAGCAGCTTTGGAAATTTTAAGCTATTCTTTCACAGGATGTATCTGCACCCTTTTAGTGTCCCAAACCAAATGGCTTCTTTTGTAAATGAAATTGTAATCTGGTTTTCTGCATCATCACTGGCCACCGTCTACTATCAGACTAGGCTTGGAGATGCACCTTTTTTAACTTTCCTAATAGAAAAATAATTAATTTGGAAACAGTTGTATTGATGGGCAAATTAAATAACTTACATAAATAGAATTAAACAAGCATTAAGGGTTTTATAGATGAGCGCCTGTTTTACTACATTAAGATCCACAATCTTTTGGTCATCAAAAAAAGCTGAAGAGCTTATCCTCACTACGTAAGGGTAAGGTTTTCTCACTGTGTAAGGGACACAAAATTTGATATAATGCAAACATCCCATCACCTGTTTCTCCTATTTGAAATTATTTACATTGCAGCTCCTGTGAGTCTTGGAGAAACACTGATTTGTTAAAGAAGGTAAGAACTAGTGACCCAAAGAATATTAAAGGGAAAGACATTCAGTACTGAAGAGAATAAGTGCAGGATTAGTAAACCACAAAGCATCAAACAGGGGCTGGACATCCAAAAATTCAATGCTCAAGAAGAGACAAATGATAGAAGGATGTTTTGGAACGTAACCAGCACATCATTCTGACACAGTTTGAATGCAAAAGAACAACTTGATCAGCCATCAGATATGACTCAGTTCCTTTGAATCTTCTCAAACCCTTAAGAAAAAAAAAGAAGAGAGAAAAAGATGGCTTTCCAAACAAGCCTGTGGAGCCAAATCGTGCAGGCTCTGAATAAGAGTGGAACCACATAATTTAAAAATCAATAAAATTTGTTATCAGTTCCTTCTTACTGAAATGTAGAATCTATAAATTAGTAAGTCTGCTCATCAGCAGATGAAAAGACATTTAAAAAATCAAAATCAAGAAACTGAGAGTTTGTATGACTAACTGTCACCAGACACCTTAATGCTGCATCTGCTTTACTCTACTTGAAAATCTGAATTCTCTCAGCAGAACAAAAAATAAAACATAACTGGATTGTTTCCTGTTACAACAGAAGAATACAAGAATAGCTGTACTTGGTCAAACCAAAGGTACACAAAGCGCAAGATTCAATTTCCAGCTCTGACCAACATCGGATGCCTAAGGAAGACTAAGAACATGGCAAGTACATAGTGATATTTCCACAGAATTCTCTCTTGGCCACAAGCATTTTGTGGCTCAGGAACTAGAGGTAGTGACTCTATTTGACAGCTCTGTACAAGTTTCTTCAAGCTACTTCAGTAATCTTTAGAACTCTTTAAAATTTAATATCTACAGTGTCTTTTGGTGCTTAATAATATTGCATGAAGAGCCATTTTTCTTT